CAGATTTTGCCATGAAGAGGGGTAAAGCGAAATAATTGCTTCCGGTTTGGCTTACCTTTAGCTGGCCTTTCAGTAGTCTGTTTCCGGGCAGCTTGTCACCGTACAAGGCGTGAAGACGAGACTCTCTCGCGATTTGCAGATTATCGCTCTGGTTTTCGGCCATACTAATGCCAATATAAAATCATGAGTCGCGTTATGTCGATGACTAGCTTCAATGCAATACTATATATGGCTGGTCAATACTCGCCACTTCCACGACTATATGCGGTGCGGCGCGGGCATTGAGCCAATCACGTCTGATTCGGCAGATATAGTGGGCGCCGGCAGATCGCGCACTTGTCACGTCACTCGCCACTTCCCCGTCTTCCCACTTCCCGTGATGCTTATTGAGATGCTGAAATGCTTGCGCCGTGCTACAGATATTTCTCCTCACCAAATAAAATTTCGCCGAAGCATTTTACAATATGGATGATCTGGAATGGGCATGGCCGGCTTGGAAGTTCGATTTGAAGATGCACGATGGGTTCGAGCAACTACATGCCAAGTATAACACCTTTCCATCAGCGATTCAAAATCGGCAGTCGTTTCACTGCGATCTTCTTGAAATCGCGACAATAGCAACAACAAAGGAAGAGCTCTACAAAGAGTTGGCTATTCGAAAGCAAATGCGCATTTTCGAGCTTACACAAGAGCTTGAATCACTCAGTTACGAGATTGTGGCCAATCCTGGCTTAATCGCTGCTACACAGTGGCATCACGCTATACAGGTCTTTCGCACAAAATCATTCGATTCTTTGGTCGGTTATTTTGCATCCTATATTGGTAGCGACGACTCGAATCCTTCCGACAACTCAAGTTCTTTTTGATACTTGATCACGATCTCTTAGCATTGCAATTACTGGCCACGCAGACAGCTACCTCATAGCCTTGATAAGGGCTTGAATCACTTTTGGTTGAACAATCTACAGCAAGTCTACATTTAGACAGCTGCTACAGTTAAATTTAGAAGATGGCGGGAGAAGGCTGATACCTGTATTACTGGTGGATATTTTTTAGGCAGCAAGTCAATATACGCAACTGAGAACCTGACAAAGAGGTAGGATGATGCGAGATAGAGCACTGGGCTACTGCATCGGTATTTTGGTGCTTATCGCCACTACGCCGGAAGTGCTGTGAAACAGTATTAGAAATCTGCTGGGTGCATTGCTCAAGTCTGCCACCTATCAGCCATTCATTGCGAAGGTGGGCGGTATGGCGCGACTTGCATGTAGCGAACTGGGCATAGCCGAACTGCGCTACCCCACAGACTTTTCAGGCAATGCCCAGGCAAGTTAACATCGATAGTGGTTAGATCCACGACCAAACCCATAATTCCGTTAGGGCCAGAACGAGCAGTATGCTTCCGATTGGCGCTCTCCTCAGCGCGGTTAGGATGCTCAGCTTGTTTCAGAAGCCGTTGCCCCAAATAAAATTTGGGATGATGGCAGAGACGCACCGATCGTTATTGTCGTGGATGTGCTTGATTAATGCGAGCGAGAAAGGTGATATCACGCTCCTAATTCGCCTGTTGTTTCAAGCAAAGACCAAGTCGTTAAACCAATCAAGATGTTCCTTTAGTGGAGTGGAGTGAAACTGCCAACACTACGTACTCTGGGCAAATGTAGTGGACGCCTGCATATCGTGCGCTAGTTACGTCACTCGCATCCCTGCTGGATTCCTTGGTTAAGTGGTGGATTTACTCCCACATACAGGGAGCTCGAAACCCAGAGAACATGACTTTATGGAAGAACTGGAATGGATACGGCGGACCTGACAATTTCGTGTTGAAGATGAATAGTGAATTTCAACAGCTTCATGCTATCGCTCTATCGAAAGGAAGCATGATAGCGCCAGATCTACGTAGACATTTCAGATCCTGGCTGGTGCCGATGCCCATGATAGCCGTGAGTCGGGCGATACGGCTGAAACCAGTTCGAATTGGTGCTCACAACGCTAGGCAGGCTGCAGCTGTCAACAACCACCAGGCTACAGCATTCCAAAAGTACAAGGTCAAGCTCCACTGTAAATTTCGTGACATGGCTAGCTATCTGCCAAATATTATTGCCCAAGTTTTCGCCTGCCCCTTTCATGCCCTCTTCTTGACTCTATGGCATTTCAGAGCGCAGTCGACTCACCATGCCGGAAATTGTATGTTTGCGACGTTAATCAATTAATACGCCAACGCTAATCAGGGGCCTGCTTTCTCAATAGGTACAAATCCAGGTTGGCCAATGTGTAAGAAAAGCTCCTACTCCTACTATTACAATTTAATGACAATCACAGGGCAACCAAATCGGTACTGCATTCTGGCAGACGATCTTGGGCGAACACGGTATAGATAACGATGGTATGTATGTATTGCACGACATTCTATTGTCACACAGTGCTTGAATGAGCACTATCATTATGTGTCATGTCTGACCATCGTATCAGTTATCATGGAGACAACGAAGAACGCATAGCACGCGCCAACGTCTATTTCCACGAGGTATATACAGAACCGCGCTTACGATCGCCAGTCGCCCATATAACAATGCTTTACTAAGTCCATTCATAGAACGCGGGTAGAAAATATGTGCCACGCGTGGTGCTTGTCGACCTCGAGCCAGGCACAATGGATGCCGTGCGGGCAAGTCCTCTTGCTAGGCTCTTTCGACCGGATAATTTCGTCTTTGGCCAATCTTCTGCCGCGAACAACTGGGCGAAGGGCCACTATACCGAAGGTGCGGAGCTGGTTGATGACGCCGTCGATGTGATTCGCCGTGAGGCAGAGCAATGTGATTGCCTCC